CATAGAAGTGTCATATGTATGATAGAAAAAAATTTCGTTCGGCCCAAAATATCACGGATGTGTCTTTTTTTTGTAGTGCAAGGAGATCAAGCGGAAGGGCTTCGGCGTTGAGAGGGACGAATCGGAGGGCTCTGAGCAGAGGACAGAGGAGCTCGACATTGCAGCGTCAGTGCAGTAGACTGCTGCTCAAAGAGAGATGAAGCTACGATCGTCAAAACCAAAAAACTTACAACACGAATGTTGTGAGGAACTGCGAGGTTAGGCTGCTGTTCAAAGGAAAACTCAAACGATCGATCATGCGCAATGAATCTAACAAAATTCGTCAAGAACAACTTCAAACGGGAAGACGAAATTAAGAACTTATAGCCGACGAAACTACGAACCGATCGCCTGAATCGAATCGTAGCATCGAGGTGCATATTTTTCGTGTAGAGCTTACCTCGAATCGAAGCACTGTTGTGTAGATCGGAAGGGGCTAGGAAGAACAGAATTAGAGGGAAGGTTACTGGAGGTAGGAGAAGATAAGCACGCACAGGCTGCATACCAGCTCGTATCCCTCCCATCTCCCCTCATGCAAGTGGCCCACCTTGTGCGCTCGCCTCAGCCTGGCTCGAGAGAAACTGCCGATTCCTGGGTTCCCAGCGGGCCAGGCCCAAAGGTGCTTTAAGTTTCTTGCTATGCAGGCCCAATAGTAAAACTAGGCAACCAAACAGCCTGTTCGCTTCCCGCGCGGGCCTGGTTGGGCCTCACACAGGCAACCAAACACGCCCATGATGAATATCATCCAACAAATCGCCAATCCAATGCCTACGATTTTCCTACATATTGATCTTGCTAAATTACTACTGCTATTGTTACTATTGCTACTGCTACAAAACTATTACTATCACTGTTACCGTTACCATTGTTGTTGCTACTACTATCAAAACTATCATACTACTTTGCTACTGGTCACTTTGCTGCAGATAATTAATCTCCAGGTGTGGTTGAATTGACAACTCAACTGCTAATACTTGCAAATATTCATTGGCTCCCCTTGTGTCGAATCTATAAATTTGGGTTGAATACTCTACCTCGAAAGCTGTTGTGATCCCCTATACTTGTGGGTTATCACTGATCTGTTGAGCAAGCAAAGAATCATTTTCCCTTTGAAGATCTTCATGACTCACCCTTAGTGTCTCAAGATCTTCCTTTCTTTGAAGAAATTCATAGGAAAGATTCTCATGATCGGATAAGGTGTTTCATGACGACCTTGAAGGTTATCAAACTTACACTTTAGTCGTTGAAGATTATTAGTCAAGGTTTGAGTTTGATTCAGTTCTCACCCAACAGGTCATCGCTTTTGTCTAGCAAATTTTGAACCTTTTCCAAAGCTTTTTGTTGTTTCATGGAAATATTAGCAAGTTTAGAATAGCTAGGTTTGAGATTTTCATCAGATTCATCTTCGCTTGATTCAGAGGAGGGATATTTGAGTACCTTGGCACCTTTTGCCATGAAGAAATAGGTGGGAGCGAAGTCATCGTCAGCAGTGTTGGAGTTGTCATTTTCTTCACAATTGAAGATGGACTTGCCGACGAAAGCAGTAGCGAGATCTAGGCTCGTCACACCAGAGTCTGACTCCTCAGATTCCTCCTCTTCCTCATTTTCCTTAGATTCAGCTTGAGAGTCCATTTCCTTGCCAATGAATGCCTGAGCCTTTCTGGAACTACTCTTCTTGTGAGATGAAGACTTTGAAGATTTTGACGGTGAGGACTTTGAAGATTTCTTCTTTTTCTTTCAATCATCTGAACTGTCATCTTTGTATTTCTTCTTCTTTGATTCTTTCAACCTTGACGACAATCAGCCATGTAGTGACCAGGCTTCTTGCACTTCTGGCAAGTCCTCTTCTTGTAGTCGCGAGATGAAGAATCTGATCTCATGTCATCACCTCTTGATGATTTTCCAAAACGGCCACGTCTTGGGAACTTCTGGAATTTCCTCACAAGCATTGCAAGCTCCTGACTTAGTTCTTCAGGATCACCAGGCTGCTGTCAGAATCTTCCCCTTCAGATGATGAAATTGCCTTGGCCTTCAGCGCGCGTGATCTACCATAGCCTGGCCCGTAGAGGCCTCTCTTCTCAGCTAGTTGGAATTCATGAGTGTTCAATCTCTCAAGGATATTAGCAGGATCTAGTGACTTGTAGTCTCCACGTTCTTGAATCATCAGTGCTAGTGTACCGAATGAGGAATCAAGAGATCTTAGCAATTTCTTCACCACCTCATGGTCGGTGATGTCAGTGGCGCCAAGTGCTTGAAGCTCATTGGAGATATCGATGAGACGGTCGAAAGTTTGCTGAACATTTTTGTTGTCGAGTCGTTGAAGAGGTTGAAGAGATTGTGAAGAACGTTAACTCGAGAATCACGTTGGGTTGAGACTCCTTCATTGACCTTGGACAGCCTATCCCAGATAAGCTTTGCAGTCTCCAAAGCACTCACTCTGTCGTACTGTCCTTTCCTCAGATAACCACATATGATATTCTTCGCTTGAGAGTTGAGTTGCTTGAATCTCTTCACATCAGCATCGTTCACAGAGGGAGTGATGGATGGAATGCCATTTTTCACAACATATCAGAGATCGTTGTCAATTACCTCAAGATGCATGCGCATCTTGTTCTTCCAGTAGGGGTAGTCCGTCCCATCGTAGGTAGGACACCCAGTCGAGACATTGATCATACCTGTAGTCGACATAACTAGAACTCTAGGTGGCTAAACCAAAATCACACAAAACAAGGAGTACCTTGCTCTGATACCAATTGAGAGTGTGTTATATCGACTAGAAGGGGGTGAATAGGCAATTTTTACAAATTCCTCACTGAGGAATACAACTTGAGGAATTTGCTAAGTGAAAAAATACAAGCAGTGAATAAAGTACTCAGGTGCATGCATAACAAAGCAGTAGCATAGTCATCATGATGAAATGAAGCATACACAGAGCGCATGTAGCGTGTAAACAGGATAAAGCAGGTAGAAGACAAGGTGACTGAAGAAATAGAGTTGAGGAAATTGAGAAAGTCTTCAGTCAAAGTCTTCAAACAGTAATGATCAAGTTCAATAGCAAGTATGTGAGGAAACGAAGGGGTTGAGGAAATAGAACCAGTAGCTCGGTGAAGACAGTGATTTGGTAGATCAGTTCCAATTGTTGTGAGAGTTGTACGTCTGGTTGGAGCGGCTTGGTATTTAAACCAAAGGACACACAGTCCTTACCGTATTCTCCTTGAGCTAAGGTCACACAAACCTCACCCAATCACTCATGGTAAGTCTTCAAGGTGACTTCCAAACCTTCACAGACTTGGTCACCCGGCAATCCACAATTCCTCTTGAATGCTCTAGACCATGACGCCTAACCGTCTGGTATATGCACAGTCTTCAAAGGTAACAAGCATCGGTTCCACACAGGAACAATCTTTTCAGTTATGCTCAATCATTTTGTGTTTTAGGTGTTGGGGTTTTGGGTTTTTCCTCACTGATGATTTTATCTCAAATTCCTCGGAGGATGGGATGCTCTAAATGACAAGTGTCAGTCTATCTCTCGGAGCAGCCAACCAGCTAGTGGTTGAAGGGGCGGCTATTTATAGCCGGGGAGCAGCCCGACATGATAAGACATAAATGCCCGTAATGATATGACCGTTATGTGCATAAGATATTTGGGGCAACTAGCGTGAAGCACAACAACGGTCGAAAATTTGAGCTCTCAAATTCCTTAGGGCTATCATGATCCTCATAGTAGGCAATTCGCACTGGTGAATTCCTAACTCCTCAGTCAGAACAAATTCCTTAGAGACCAAAAGATCTTTGTCTCTGTCACTAAAGAAATTGACCGAACTGCAAGAGATTTCCAATGGCTTCACTCGAAGGATTGGGTATGTGTATAGGCTTTGAGATGAGCATCACTTGGAAATCTTTCCTTAGTTTTACCTCGACCCCCTCTAACAGTACGGTGTTTCCTATGACTCAAGAAAGGAAAATGAAACTACGAAAACAAAAGTATTCACGCTTCATAGTCCTCGCATCAATATCAATATCTTCAAGGTCACACCAATCTCTTCAATTTCAAAGTCTTCAAGAAAACCAAAGTCTTCAACTGAAGACATTCATTTGTAGGGGTCGACATTCATCGGTTTTATCAAACTCCTCAGAGACTTATATGGCATGTGTACACTCATAAACACATTAGTCCCTTAACCTATAAGTCTTCAATACACCAAAATCACTATGGGGCACTAGATGCACTTACAAATCTGCCAAAAGCCTTTTGGCATTTTGCATGTATGATGTTAGTCCAGCAGGATAGCTTGAATTAAGTCAGCAAAAATGTGTCATAGAGGTGCCATCTACTTCCTTCAAGATAAACTTGGCCATGTCAACAATAAAGACTATAAAGGGATCACTATGTATTATCAAGCTAGGAGTGCAACTGCAGCAATGATGGAAAACCGTGTATCAGTTGGCGAAACATTTTGATAATCTCATTTCCAAAGGCCAGTAACCATCACTACCACCATATTGTGCTTATTAAAAAGGAATAACAAAGTAGAATTCCTGGTACACACCTGCATTTTGAGATGATGCAACTCATGGTTAAAATAAGGACCTTGAAAGTTTCTTGGTGGTGTGCTTAGAAATATCACAATAACGGGGGTCTTTTCGCCAATAGAACGGACATTCTCGACATCAAATTCATCCGCACAATCAGCCAGAGAACAAATCTGATTTCATTGGCACCACATATTTAGATAGAGAATGAGGATGAGTCTAAAAGTAAATGGCAAAAATCATAATTGAAAAGAAGAAAACAAATAGGTTGTAGAACCCACAACAAATCTTTGAGCATTGTTGTCTTTAACTCCTTATCTTTGAGAGTTCTGCCTGATGCATTTTTCAAAACATATTCTGCTGCAACCTCAGATTTCTGCTTGTCAACGACCACTGAGCATGTCCAAATAAATAAATTTATGTGCAGTTCACAAGAATAAAGGGGAGCTCTCCAAAAGAAAATTGGCCATGGGGACGTAGGGGAGGGTCAGACCTCCTGGCCCACTGCTCCTCAAGTTCCTTCTCCTGTACACCACGTTCACTCCCTGCAGAAGAAGAGAAACATAGACAGAGACTCAGAACAACCATAGTCAAATTGGAAGAAAAACAGAGAATCCAAAAGGGCGGGATTTGTGCGTCTGCGTCAACTACGTACTTGGAGCCATGACTTGTAGAGGTCGGTATCTTCGTAGACGGTGATGACCTCCTCAACGGAGTAGCAGGGAAAAATGGACGCGATTGAGGAGAAGCGGGAAGGGGCGATCGCCGCTGTCTGATTGCTGGTGTCGAGGATGGCATCGTGGTAGCTCTTGATGTAGTTATCATTTCCCACCATCTAACTCACACAGAGAGAAGAGATGGGAGGGCACCTTGTCCATGGCTGCAGCACCAGGGCCAGAGCACCTTGCTCTAGCCGAAGCAGTGTTGTGGGCGCGCCGGATTCGGACCTGTCCTCGATCCGGGGCGAGGGGGAGGGGAAGGAGGTTGATGATGAGGAGGAGAAGGTAAGGGGATGAGAGAACGGGGTGGGGGCGTCAGCCGTGGGGGAGGTCACCGTTGGCGGTGCTGGCGGCGGCCGAGGGAGAGGAACGGGCGGATGGGGAACGGGGCTGGCCAATCTCTCTTTCTTCTGCAAGAAACGAACAACGTGGAGCAGCCAAGAAAGCAAACTGCCGATCCCTTTTGTGTCGTACCTAATACGACTTGGACTGCGAGAGACAAAATGCCTTGCTACATCCAATTGACCAGCGCAAAGTTCTCTTGCCATTGGCTGCCACTTACAGTAGACGTCCGCTGACGTGGATAGCACCCGCATTCACCCCTTCCGCGTAGCTTATTGGGTTTGATTGTAACTGTCTACTGAATTAGTGATCTGACCACCTAATCCTTTCGTCGGAACAGATCAAACTCGAGCAGTGCATGAGTACAATAATGCCATCTATTCGGTTAATTAATTGTTTTTTCCGCATAAATAAATAAAAATATTTTTTTAACAGTGGATACAACTCCGGCTCCATACGTGATCGCAAAAGTCAAGCTAATCCGCGTTTGCAAATTAACACGGCAGCATGTGACCGGTAGGGTGAGGGTGAGGGTGACAGCGGAGACGTTCAACTGCTTCGTGTGCAAGAACACCACGCGAAGTTTTCAGGAACGAGGAGACGATGGAGGAGCGGCTTGCCTCCCACAAGAGAGCTCCGAGGAAGCCGAAGCCGCCGCCGAGGCGGACCAAGCCGACCGTCCCCGCCGCACCTACCAGCAGCCCGTCGTTGACCGGCCCGCCACGCCCGCCAGGCATTCCACCGCCACCTGGGCCTCCTCCGCGGCTGCCTGGAGGTCCTGTCCCGCCGCCGCCGTCTATGAAAATGCCCGGCAAGGGCCGTCCGCCTGTGGCTGTGGGCGGCGGTGGCGAAAGAATGCGCCGCGCGCCCGAGATCGTGGAGTTCTACCAGTCCCTGACCAGGCGCGGCGAGGCCAGGCAGGCTGGCTCCCGAGGCCCCAAGGCGTCCGGCGGGTCAACGGCTCCCAAGAGCGACTTGATCGGGGAGATCACCAAGAACTCCCCCCATCTCCTTGCCGTGAGTACGAAATAATGCGCCGTTTCCTAGCTCCTCTTTGATCAAGCGCAGCAACAAATTTGCGTGCTTATTAATTACCACCACAGAGCAGAGTACATTAATTGTAGCCGGCCTTGTAGGTTCAAGCCGATGTGGAGACCCAAGGGGACTTCGTGCGCACCTTGGTCGCCGAGGTCCGGGAGGCGACCTTCGCGAGCATCGAGGACGTCGTGGCGTTTGTGACATGGCTCGACGAAGAGCTCTCCTTCTTGGTGAGTGTCCGCTCGTTCTTTTGCTCGGAAACGTCTCCCTGATTGACCAGAAGTCGATGAACATAGTACTATTATTCTTCAGGTGGATGAACAAGCAGTCTTGAAGCACTTCGACTGGCCGGAGAAAAGAGCAGACACATTGCGAGACGCCGCTGCCAGGTACCAGGGCCTTCTGCAACTAGAGAAGCAGATCTCGTCCTTCGTCGATGACCGCGCGCTCCACCGCGACGCAGCGCTCGGCAAGATGTACTCCCTCTTCGAGAAGTATGTCTTCCTGTCTCATGGCTGGGTAACTTGAGTGCCTAGATGCACCAGTGCGCTGAGTAAAATTCCCCTGTCCTGTTTATTATTCCACTTCTCAGAACAGAGAAGAGCGTCCACAAGTTCCTGCAAGATAGGGATGCCGCCGACACGAAGAACAATCTCATCTCACGGTACAAGGAGCAAGACATTCCAGTTGGCTGGATGTCAGACGCAGGTTTAATTGTGAAGGTGCATTTTCACCAACTCCTTTTTTGAGCTGTTACTCTAATAGCATTGTGGGTGCGTACCTAAGCTGACATTATCGTCTGAATTCTCGCATGCGTTGTGATGTGATTTCCCGCAGGTCAAGTTGGCGTGCGTCAACCTCGCAAAGCAGTACATGACGCGGGTGGTCTCGGAGATTGATGGTTTAAGAGGCATCAACAAAGATCACACCAGGGAAACAGCACTCTTCAAACGTCTGAAAGAGCAGAACAGTGAAGTGCTGCTCCATCAGGGTGTCAGGTTCGCGTTCCGGGTTCATCAGGTAAAGGAAATGTTTGTTCGTACATAGGACGGTTTTAGGTCTTTTACATACTACTCCTAGAAAAATAACCTGCGGTATTATCTTTGCCATGATCTTAGTTTACAGGCGGGTTCACCGCTCAGAGCTTAGGTGCTTTTGATGAGCTAAAACGACGGCATAATGATGGAACAACTTAACAGCGTGTACAGTGTCACAGTTTTCCGCTTCCAACATCTCTAAGGGCTCTTCGATTCAAAGGGTTGTCAAAAGCATTTTGGAGGATTCTAACCCTGGGAATTTTTCCTACTACGTGTGTTGTTTGATTCGAAAGATTACAATCCATATGGTTTTTCCCCCTTAGGATTCATTTATACTATTCCACACGAAAATTTCACTCCAATCTTTGTGAATAATCCTATAGTTTTCATGTGCACAACCAAATACCCTGAATTCTTGTCTTAATCAGGATGCCATGACATTCTATTTTTTGCTTTTTCTTGTTTCTGTGTTTTAAAATTTCTGCAAATCAAAGGGGCCTTAAAGCTGTGGACCAGAGCAAAGTCAACCACATGTAAATTATCAGAAATTTCAGTTCCGAAATTTCAGTAGGATGGATACGGATAAACTCAGCAGAAGACTGTTCAATTGCTGTGTGTATGTCCAGTGTCTTGCTCCAGCAAAGCAACGAAAGCTTGTTTTAGTTGCACTGTGCTCATCGGTGCCGGGGCGCCACACGTCGCCGTGCATGCCTTACACGCTGGCCTGCTGGCACACGTCGTTCCCAACAAGCACGCACACTTCAACTCCTCCCCGCCATCTCCTCACCAGCAATTCTATCTTCCCATCCATCTTGCGGCTCGTGCCATGGCAGATCGGCCGGGAAGCTCGTTGCCGGTCGTTCCTCGTCCGGCCCGGCTCCGGAGCGGCCAAGCGTCCTACTCGTCCCGCCGGCGCGTCCATCCATCCAACGCCCAGCTCCTCGTCTACCTAGCCCTCGCCGTCACCTTGGCCGCCCTCCTGGTCCTCACCGGCGTCACGCTCACCGTCGCGTCAGTCGTGCTCGTCGTCCTCGTCGTCCTCGCCCCGCTCTTGCTCCTCACCAGCCCTCTCTGGGCGCCGGTGGCAGTGGTGGCCATCGTCTCGGGGGGCGCCTTGCTGTTTGGCTGTAGCCTCACGGTGTTCGCGCTGAGAGCGAGCACGTGGGCGCACCGGCGCCTGACGGGGCGGCACCCGGTGGGCGCGCGTCGGGTGGGCTACGCCCGTGGGCGTGGCCGGTTCGCCGGCGCGGGTGGCCACGCGACGGGCTACCACGGGCAGGGACAAGGGTACGATCGGATGAAGGACGCCGTGCCCGGGGCCTAGCTGGCGGCGAACAAGCTTCTCCTTCCGCGCATTCCGTTTGGTTTGGATACGTTTTACACGCTGTGTTTTAGTTGGAACTGGTTCGTTGGCGAGGTATATACTGTGCTGATACACGTTTTCATGTGTGTTTTGAATGCATTTCTTGATCCTGCGGGAATCAACTCTGCACATTGCTGACTGTATGTGCGTGTGTATGTTTATGTGAGTGCGGAGCTGATCAAGGCCACTGATGCAGGAGACTGTGGCCGTGGTGAATAAAAAGGCTCTGTCGTATGATGAAGCCAGAAAGTCACTTTGCGCGTTAACGGTACCTGCCGGTACATCTCACACCACTGGTTTTTGCCAGTGATTCGTGCTATGGCGTACAGATATGTACTCCCTCCGTACCATAATGCAAGATGTTTTTGCAAGCTACTCCCTCCGTAAACTACGCTCTTATATTAGTTTACAGAGGGAGTAGAAAATATAAACTTAATCAAAGTTGACACAGTTTGACTTTGATGGCCCATAGTACTAGATTTTAGTGTATCAATTTGATGGCCCATAGTACTAGTTTTTGTGAATGTAGTATGCATGCGACATCATTTCTCTCTCCCAAACAAATCCATAGACTTTCTTTTATCTTAGACAATTTAAATCACTCATATCTTTTAAACTATAAGCTCGGTTTTGAAACTTTTTATATATTTGAATTTCGGGCGCAAAGACCTTTAGAACAAGAGCAATCTTGGATACATTTTGACTAGTTTGAAAAAAGTGAAATATGTTATTATGAAATGTCAATTTGTGAAAATGATATTTGGAAATATGTAATAGTTTATTTCAAAAGAGTGAAATATGTTATTTCAAAAATGTGCAATCGAAATAGATTTGTCTTTTTTGAAACAAGCCAGTGGAAAAGTGAAATGTAATGTGAACATGGGAAATTGATTTTTTTTGAAAATGTATAACAGTTTAATTCAAAAGTGTGAAAGATGTTGCTACAAAAATGTGCGATTGAAGCAGATGTGATTTTTGTGAAGCAAGTCGGTGAAAAGTGAAATGTAATGTCGGCATGTGAAACTGATTATTTGATAATGTGTAACAGTTTATTTTAAAAGAGTGAAATATGTTACTATAAAAATTTGTAATTGAAATAGATGTGATTGTGTGAAACGAGTCAACGGAAAGTGAAACGTAATGTTAACATGTGAAAACAACTTTTAGAAAATGTGCAACATTTTCTTCAAAAGAGTGAAATAGGTTTTTACAAAAATGTGCAATTGAAATAGATGTGACTTTTGTGAAATAAGCCAGTGAAAAGTGAAATGTAATGTCAATATGTGAAACTAATTATATGAAAATGTGTAGCGGTTTATTTTAATTGAGTGAAATGTGTTATTTAAAAATGTGTAATTGAAAGAGATGTGATTTTTTGTGTGAAATAAGCTAGTGCAAAGTGAAATGTAGCTTCTGAAATTGAAAAGAATATACGAAACTGAAATGTGAACTTGTGAAACTGATTATAATTGTTTCCTTGAAAAGATTTCAACAGAGTGAAATATATGAAACATGTTTCATGAATTTTAAACTCAATTAAAAAGTATCGAAAATCAGTCTTGTTTTGAACGTCTTTGTGACATGAGTTCAAATATATACAAACTTTTGAAATCAGATTGATTCAAAACTTACGAGCCATTCAAAATGATATGAGAAAAATTAAACGTAAGTCTTTGGTTGGACAGGCAATGTTTTGTGCATGCAGTGCAGTGCACTTGTCTCACGCTCTCACTTGACAAAAAGCTAATGTTGTGGACCCCTTCCTCCAGAAATACTTGTCATTAAAATGGATGAAAAGAGATGCATTTACTAAGCAAAATGACTTGCTTTTTATGCAAAACAGTGTCGCACTAAGGGCATCTCCAGCCGTGCCCCCAACAGGCCTTCCCAGGCCACTTTTTCGGCGCCGGCGCCGAAAAAACGGCCCAGTCGCGCCCTCAGGACGCCGAAAATCGCCGGTTCGGACCTTTTTTCCGCCCGGCGGTCACAGGTCGAACCCGGCGCGCTGGGGAGCCGTTGGGGGCTCCGGCGCTAGGGAAAAGCACGCTTGGCCCACACCGACAGGGGAAAAGTCAAGGTTTTCTTCCCCCGACTCGCCTCGCACCCCCCGCGCCCTCGGCCACCACTAGCTATATCCCGGCGACGGCCGCCGGCCTACTCCGCTAGATAGCCATTCCCCGCCGGAAAATAGCAGCGCTTCGCCGCGGCAGCCCCTCCCGCAGCAGCTGGGCGTTTCCGGCCGCGGAGGCGCGGTTTAACGACGGGTACACGCCCACCGAGCGCAAGGTGTTCGGCGTTTTGACTGTCTCGGCGATGGACTCAGATGAGGAGGAAGAGCTCGCCGCGCTGCTGGAGGAGGAAGCTGCGGCCGACGTCCAGGAAGAAGAGCATCTGATGGTGCTCGCCGCCCTCGCCCAGCTGCTGGCGAGCAATGAAAAGCCGCGTCGAGGTGGCTCGGCGCCGGGGCGGGTGAAAGCAAAGAACCGGCATCGTCTGCAAGGCTACTGCATGCTCTACTCCGACTACTTCGCCGATGCTTCACTTCATGGCGAGAGAACATTTCGGCGCCGTTATCGGATGAGCCGAAAGCTCTTCCTCAGGATTGTGAATTCCATCCGAGAGTTCGACAACTACTTCAAATGCAAGATGGATTGCACTGGAGCTCTTGGATTCACCTCCATCCAGAAGTGCACGACAACGATGAGGATGCTTGCATATGGAGCTTCCAGTGATTCACTCGACGACTATGGGCGCATGGCCGAGTCCACCAGCATAGAGTGTTTCTACAAGTTCTGTCGGGCAGTGGTGGCAGTGTTTGGGCCACAATACTTGAGAACACCCAATGCGGAAGACACTGCTCGGATCCTAGCCCAGAATGCAGCAGGAGGATTTCCTGGGATGCTTGGAAGCATCGACTGCATGCATTGGCAATGGAAGAACTGCCCATTTGGTTGACAGGGGATGTACAAAGGCGCCAAAGGCGGTTGCAGTGTGGTGCTTGAGGCGGTAGCCGCACAGGACCTCTGGATTTGGCACTCCTTCTTTGGTATTGCCAGGAACTCACAATGACATCAACATGTTGCAGTGCTCTCCTGTTTTTGCCAAGCTCGTTGAGGGCCATTCTCCTCCGGTGAACTTCGAGATCAATGGGCACCAATACAACAAGGGGTACTATCTAGCTGACGGCATCTATCCGAGATGGTCGACATTTGTGAAGATGATCTCAAACCCTGTGGCAGGAGGCCAGAACGCCTGGTTTGCGAAGCTTCAGGAGGCTTGCAGGAAGGATGTCGAGCGGGCTTTTGGTGTGCTCCAATCTCGATTCGCTGTTGTTCGATACCCCGCTCAGACCTGGTCGAAAGATCAAATGTGGGAGATCATGACTTGCTTTTTCATCTTGCACAACATGATCATCGAGAGCGAGCAAGAAGACCCAGTGTTTGACACTGAACCATACTACAGGCAGGGTCCTCTAGCCGAAGTTGATCACCAGCTACCGGCAACTTGAACTACCTATCTCAGTATGCGTCAGGAGATCCGAGACCCACAGGTGCATCATCAACTGCAGAAAGATCTGATTGAGCACCTATGGAGGCTCAAGGGGGACGCCGCATGATGAAATACGAGTTTTTATTTGTTGAACTATATAATTTGTATTGAACTATTTGTTGTTGTAGTATTTTGTTGAAGTATTTGATTTTTCTGTGATGAAATATGTGATAAGGAATAATTGTGTTGATAATTGAACGCCGAGACACGGCGAAACCACGCCGAATATGGGCCTATTCTCGCCCATATGAACCGTTTATTCGCCGAAATTGGGCTGCAAAGTGGACCAATTTCGACGCCTGGGGCGACGACTGGGCGCAAAACCGCCCCAGCGCCGAGTGTATCGCCGGCTTGCCCCCAGGGGACGATTTGTATGCGTCTTGAGGGGGCCAACGGCTGAAGATGCCCTAATTTGAGAATGGCAAGGAGCGGCACTAATTTAAGAATGGCAAGGAGCGGCTGCGGATCTGCCGGTACGTAGCGTTGCCGCATAATTTTTCATTTTAATGATGAAGGTGAACCCTTGGTTGGATGAGCTTGGTGTCACATTGGCGTTGTTTTCCTTTTCTCGATTTGTATGTGTCAGTGCGGCCATCGCTGTGGTATAGTTAATTTTTATTTGCGAGGAAGGTGGTGCGTAGTAAATGGTGTCACGTTTTCTTTCTCTGAAACCATATGCCTACGCTACTTGTATTTATAGGTGTCGGATAAGAACACGTACCCTCCCGGCAGGAGGTATCTTGCTATGTTTTTAGGTGTTTTTGCGAGTTCATTCAGGGTTTGTATTATGCTTAGAAAGACGAGATAATGATGGTTTCTTAAAGATCGAATAAGATTCTTGTCACCTAGCCTCTATTTCGGCGTCGTTGGAGGATTGTGAAGGTGTGCGACGAATCTCGCAGGATTCGGTTAGTGGTCTTTGTTGGATCCAAACTTCTTGAAGATGGAATAAGGTTCTTCCCGTCCAACCTCTATTTTGGTGATGGATCGTCGGAGGGCGTGGGAAGGTGTGTGACGGATGTTGAGGGATTCGGTCAGTGATCTTTGGTGGATCAGCTTGGACCCATTATTTGTTTGTGGTCATTCGTCTATCTGTGGATTGAGTCCTTTCAATCTATACTCCGCTTCATCAACAGCAGTTGATGCTCTAGTGCGCTAGTTATGTGGGGCCTTAGCAAGACGACTTTTCTACTGTCTACTATAATAAGTTTGGCTCGATTCTAGTGAGGAGAGGGATGATGACGGCGCGTCTTGGCTCGTTTCACTGTTTATAGTCGTCACTACATTGTCTCCGAACATGAATACATATATTTTGCTATTATGTGTTCTTTATACTGCCATGACATGATAAAAAAGATCAGAAGTTTTCTCGCAAATAAAAAATACAACAAATAAAACGAGGATACAAGCTC